CTGATTAGATTAAGGTTGATCTGTTTGTTCAGCTTCCCCCGGCCCAAGTAAGGGCCCCTGATCATTTCTTAAAGGCAAGAAAGCACAACGTTCTAGCCTACCAGGAAGGCAATCTCTACGCATCTTCTTCTGCTATGTGCCCAGAGTCGCATTTTCTGACTTGCGCCGGCTCAGGTGCTGTGCTCGGCTTGTGCTTCATTTCATTGTAAGCAAACACCTCCACTCCAGCTACCTGCTGAATATTGTATTAGGACTGCTCCTTTCCCTCCGGGCAAGGGGTCTGCCCTCCACAGCCAGTTTTTTTTCTTTTTTTTACAAGTTCACCTATGGAAAGATGAAATGGATGTCTTTTTTTTTTTTTAAGCAAGTTCACTGACGAAAGAGAGACTGAAAAAGCAAGCAAGCCAAAGTGGAGGAATTGAAATCTGAAAATATCTAGTCCACACCTGGGAGACAAGGAGCTTAAAGAGTTTTGAACCGGAAAATTACAACCAATTCAAAGTGAGGACAGACTCTAGAGCAAAATGGTCTATTTCCCTTGAATATTGCAAAGAAAGCATTGGTTACATACAGTATATGAATGTTTAAAGGGTCCATTTGTGCAATAGGAGCTTTAACTTCAGTCATCCTGATTTTAGGGATAGGAAGTTTCAGCGAAGGACACTTTGCAGTCCTTTTACTGCCATACATAGAAATGGGAACTGGATACTTCTTAAAAAGAAGGTGGCACTTTTGCTTTTGAAACATGAATGGTGTTGCTGTTACAAGCCTCCAAGCTGTGACTTGGGTACAGTTGCTCTAGGGACAGAATCAGGGTTGGCTTGTTCCCTGGCATTTGTGGACATGTCTTCTGACAGCTTCCCTGTCTTTGTAACTCCTAATTCTCAGCAAGTCAGATACAGTGGTACCTCGGGTTACGAACCCCTCTGTTAACTAACTTTTCGGGTTACGACCAGCTCTGGCTGCAAAAATTTACCTCGTGCGAACTCCGCCTCGGGGTACGAACAGGATACGCGGCCATTTTCCCTCCCGTGACACCGTCTGCGGCCATTTTCCACCCGACATGTGGTCCGTT